AGAGAAAATTTATGGAAATCTCCTAAACATACGCTTAATTTAGTTTCTATAAAATTTAACCCTACAAACCCTCAGAACTTTGAGCAAGTCTGTTTTTCTGGACCCTGACCCATGCAAGGAGAACTATCCCCACCTTCTCCACCTGTTCTTCCTTGAGCCAGGATTCTGTTTCCCAGGGAGCTGGCTCCCCCTGTGCCCAGACTCAGAGCTGGGTGGCCAGAAAACAAGGACTGGCCTCCCTGTGCGCCATCCTGAGCCCAACATATAGGCCAGACATCCCAGCCCTGGGCCTTCATGGTGACCCCAACACCACTCACTTGGGCTTCCAAATACACTTGACCCTTGCAAGGCAGAAATCAAATAAAGGATGAACAGTGCAGGCTGCCAGGAACAGTGGGCAAACTGATCAAATACTTGGTGCCCAGCTTCCTAGGCAGCATCTCTGCCTTGGTTCTGACCCACCTTTCCGTGTTCATACAGAACATTTGCTACTAAACGTGGGTGGGACCAACCATGTACTAGATGAGCCTTGCCCCTCCAGAGCACAGTGGTCACTCTGCCACCTGCTTGCTGTGAGTCTTCAGGTCACTGCATCTCTCTGAGTGTTTGTTTCTCTGACCATGGGGAATACGGAGGCCCAGCCTCATAGGTTATTGTAGGGAATTGGGGTGGGGGTGTTCCCCTGGAAAAAAGGCCCTGTCAGAATTGGACACTGGAGAGGTGTGCTGGAGGGGCTGTGGTTGTCCTAATTGGCCATTTTGTCTTCTTCTTAAAGAAGCTTCGCCTTATTTGTGATTCTCCTCAGGCCGTAGGCTAAGCTATTTTCTCTTGGGATAAAAACATTGGAGATTCCATTAGAGATCCCTGTCCTGGGTGAAGCCAGATTAGAAATCCCAGGGGTGAGCAGGGGTCCCCCATGTCATCTAGCTATCTGACATGGGCTGGTTTGGGCTCATTCAGTCAGGAAATTCCCTGCCCCCAGGACTGCACCCAAGAGCTTTCTTCTAGTCAGGAGTGATTCAGTCACACGAGGCTGCTCAGGCAGGTAGTGTCCACAGGACAGTCAATGTGACTTCTTTCTCCAAGTATTGCTGCATTTTCTCATATTTTGAAGCAGAAAGTGGATCTCTGGAACAGCAGAGAAAGTGAGTGGGCTTTGGATCAGAACCTTAAGGGGAGTATGGGGCCTGTGACTTGGAGGTGCTGGTAACATTCTGGGTCCCATGCCTTGTGGGATTTCTGCAAGAGGACAGAGGTCTGAGAGCTTCTCCTGGAAAAGGAGAGCTGTGCATGTGGATTTGGTGGTGTGGGTGAGCGGGGAGGGGATGGGCTGCCCACAGGAGATGAGCTCCCAGAGGCTGGGGTTAGGCAGGAGCACAGAGTCGCGCAGGTCAGTGCCCGTGGCCTGCAGTGTGGAGGGCTCCTGGACTGGGGGCTTGAACTGGGACTTCAGTGATGGAGATGGGAGGTTCCCTTCCTTGGAAGGCACACAAAAGGCAGTCATGGTGTAACATGTTCTCTTCCTGGATCTACAGAAGCAGCTCCTGAGCAAGATCAAGAAACACCTGAAGAGGAAATGCCAACTCTGTGTCCTCTCCAGAGCCAGTGCAGGCTCCAGGCACAGCTGCCCTTGAAAATCCAGATGTGGAACCACCTGCAGCATTTGAGCAACTCGCCTCAGTGCCTATGAGGCCTGTGGTCCTAGATCCTGGGCTACAACTGCCACGGCAGGGAGGGCTCCCTCTTCTCCTTTATATGAAGTTTTAAGATATCTGTATTTATCATATATTATATGTTTATAACTATTGTATTTTTCTTATACTATTCAGTAACATACAGTCTATTTTAAAGAGAATGTAATGAAATACTCAAAC